TGAATATTTTAAAAGTTGAATATTAAAAATTACATAAGTGTTGAACATTCTAAATGATAGTTCAAAAATAAAATTTTCAAAATATCTTTTTGAATTCATTTGGTTCAGCATTAAGTAAGTAATGTCTTCAAATTTTATTCCATTTTTAGTAACGTTTTGGATTATATTCAAATTGTATTATCAAACACACTTAATTAAATAAACACTACATACTATTTGATTTTTCAATTCAGTGCTTAATCGATTAAGCACTTATTCAATTAAGTGCGTTTGATACAGAAATTTGAATACCACTAAAAACGGTAAGCACCACTTAAAATGAAGTAAAATTTTAAGTGACTGGACATCACTTATCACTGAATACTTAGCACTGAAAATTTAAAAAAAGTATCAAAAAAATATTTATTTTTTAATTACCACTTAAAAATTTCAGTACTTAAAATTCAGTCTTTAAAATTTTCAGTACTATCAAACATCACCTTAATTTATTCAGAATTAAACGATAAATTGTTAATATTAATTGATTTCTAGAGCCTAAAGATGCTTCTTTCTTCTTATTTTTTGGAAAAAAAAAAATTAAATGCATTAATATATATTGGGTTTCTAGAGTTATGTTTATCTCTTAAACGCTTAATTTGTTTAGAATTAAATATTGAATTAAATTATCAAATAACGCCGCATTTTGTATTAATATTGACTTCTAGAGCCTAAAAATGTTTCTTTTTTTTATTTTTTATTTTAAATTAACTACATTAAAAAATATATATTGGGTATCTAGACTGTGTAGCTAGTTCATCCCTTGAATTCTTGTGTTCACAATTCAAAATGGGTAGGGCTCGAGGTTAGTAACACTAATAATTGTATTTTTAGTGCCTAATATAGTTGTCACTTTCTCAAGAAAAAAAGGAGAAAACTCTCACCAGAAAACAAATAATTACGTAGTATATAAGAGGAGAAATTATGATGAGTTTTTGGTTTATAAGTCCCATTCAAAATTATGGTGACAATTATAGCTATGATAATATGAATAAGAAATGAGAACAAATAAAGGGTTGAAAAAGTGGGAAATGAAATGATTAAGATAATATTCATATGATATATATTATGTCTAATATTCACGTGTATGTGACGTCATAACAGCAATGCCAATGCTAAGCAAAAGAGAAAATTACCATCAAGTCCTATTTTTCGGATTTAAAGACAAATAATACCATAAATTTCTTTTAGAACTAACAAGTTTCATTTTTGAATTTTTTATTTTTTTTTTCATTTAAGTTCTAAGTTACTCAATATTTCATTTAAATAGAAGTAAAATATTGTGATTAAAAATTGAAAATTAATATATAATCTATTTTTTATAATAAGAAAATAAGAAAATAGTGGAGCTATTTCAAAACTAAGACTTAACTGGTCTTAATAAGAAAATAGAATTTGGTGGTAATTTTTTTTTAAAAAAGTGGAGCTATTCTTCTATGGAGTTGAATTATAGTTAAATTAAAATACTAAAATTTAAATGCATAGGTCAAGTGATCATGTAAAAATGTAGATGAAATGAGATCGTGTAAATCAATTAAAATAGATCAGCATTGAATGGCACACCAGTCTCCGGCAACCACGACCATCCGCGGATGAGGTTGGCAACCGTGAACTTCCTCGCTTCACTCTCACCTTTTATAACCCGAAAATCGGGCCATTTCACTCTCCCTCCGGTCCACGAACCCGGCCCATAGTTCTTACCGTAGTACAATGTGCTCAAATTATTGTCACTCACCATTTTCATCCACCCTTCCGGATGCACCACACTTCCAAGGAAACTACACTCGAGATAAACGGTTCGCGAATACTGCTGCCATGGCCGTCCTAAGAATACTTTGACCGAGCTCATCAATGGTATTAGATCCTTTGTAGCTACAATGGAGCTTTTTCGGATCGAAATCCCGGTGTTCTGGTACGGGCTGGACTGGATTGGGCCGTTATGACAAGCCCACCACCCTGTATAAAGACTGCAGCGATACCAAAGATGAAATCAACTGTGCCAATGATGTGACATTTTTGTTAGAATTGTCTTTGTGAATGGAAGAGGTAGAAGACCTAGTGGTCGGAGTACGACACCAGCGCCACCGCCTGGCCGTTGGGGGGACCGGCTGGGTTGAGGAATGTCATGTCACGGGCTATGAATCCGTCGCCACAGACCTCTGGAAGTTGGATCGAAAATTAGTGATAAATTTCTAATTTGAATTATTGGTTTATTACTTTTAAAAGGAAAAGCTTCAATACAACATGTTAATATCATTTTTCATCCAAACATTGTTATGTGATACATTTGTTATTTTGTACTAACATGTCAAAATTTAAAGCAAGCAAAAAAAAAACGTAACGAAGGACCAAAGCCCAACAAGAGAAATGTGTTGTTTAGATATTGGGCCTAGGCTAAAGCCCAACAAGAGAAACCTTAACAGAGGACCACAAAAACTGGACAAAGACTTCTAATAACTCATCTGCTCAGACAGAAGAAACACACAATCATCACTTTTTTGGGGTTAATCCGACCTTCTTTCAAGGCACCAAGGATTTGGGCCTGGGCTATTATGGGCTTAGTCATACCTTCTTTCAGGGCACTCTGGATTTGGGCCTGGGCTAATTATGGTCTCCATGGTTTTGGGCCTGGGCTATTATGGGCTAAATCCGACCTACTATCAAGGCACCCTGGATTTGGGCCTGGTTAATTATGGGTTCCATGGATTTGGGCCTGGGCTAGTTATGGCCTTTTGGTTTCGTTTTATTATCTTAACTATTACTGTGGACCACTTTGCAAAGTTAGCTGGGCTAATGTTGAAAATATTACATATCGCCCAATTTTCTGCATAAATTTCCGACCCCCCAAACCAGTCCAACATTAACTATATTCATTGTAATAAAGTAATCATTTCTGGTGATATCACTTTTCTAAGCATAATAATTACTAGATAGATATTTTATTATTATTATTATTATCATTATTCCTATTACTAATATTTATTTATTTACTTTTTGGGATTAATGTATTCAAGATGTTGAGCTTGTTTTGTTATATTATTGAAAAACTACCATCAACTTATACTTTTCCTATTGAAATAAATAAATATATATTTTTTTCAACACCATTGAAAGATAAATAAGTCCTAAAAATTTTCCTTCACAACTAATAAGTTTTACTTTAGAAATTTTGTCCATTTAAATCCTAAATCACTAAATCTTTCATTTATACCCTTATAACTAAATTATATATTGACATTCTTATGAAGATTGACCTACCCAGTTTACTGTAAACTGGTTAACTTCACTGAAGGTTTTCTTGATTGGTTAGAAAGGTCAAGAGACTCTTCAATTACATGGAAATTCAGGAGGACAAAATTAGTGGTGAAAATGGCAGTGTAAAATGTCTACTCTCTAATTTTTTCATCACACTCATGGGAGAATGTCTATGAAAATGATGGAAATTTTGCTCTGTTTTTACCAAGTGCCTAACAGTCTTTTGTTTGCTTGGGCTCCGGCTTTTCTCTGCTCGTTCCTGACTCCTTTTTCTAGGTCCTCCCTCTGTACAATTTTTTTTTCTTCTTTAATACATTTTCAATATTCACAGAAAAATAAAAGAAATCAATTTTCATATAGATCATAGAATTAACAGAAAATTTTCACATAGATGTTAGAATTATTGAATTCCAAAAATTACACAATTGCCAACAATTAAATGAAATATAAAGAAAAAAATATAACAACCAACAAAGAAATTGACGGAGCAAAGTAATTAAAACACAAATAATTAGAAATGATCAGAGGCCAGAAGTGAAGGGCACGGTGGTGGCCGGCAACCATGACTGTCCAGCTATAAAGTTGGCCACATTGAATTGGGATGCTTCACTCGCCTTTGTTATAACCCGATAACCACCCCACTTCACTCTCCCGCCAGTCGAAGAACCAGGCCCGGAATTCTTATACTCCCCATAATACAAAGTATCAAGAGCAAAGTTACCATCCCATTCCAACCAGCCCGCTGGATCAACTAGGGTGTCCAAGTATGTCTGAAGATACACGGTTCGCGAGTATTGCTTCCATGGTCGTCCCAAGAAGGTTTTGAACGAACTCAGCACCGGTTTTAGGTCCGAAGAAGCCATGACTCGGGAGTTATGGATGGAAATCCCTGTGTTTTGGTTAGGGTCGGTCCGGCCTTGTGCCGTGACCACAATTTTTTGTTTATCCATGGGTTTTCTACCGTATATCATGCAGTTTTGGAGTACCACTGCAGCATTGCCAAAGATGAAGTCTACGGTTCCATAGATGTAGCATTCTTTGTAGAATTGTCGCTGCGAATGGACGTAGAGGGTGTCTTGGTATCCATCGAAGCTGCAACGGTAGAAGACGGAGAGATCAGCTCCGGACCGGAGTGCCACGGCTTGGTGGTTCCGTGGACCGGCTGTGTTCTGAAATGTTATGCCACGGGCAATGAAACCCTCCCCGGTTACAGCTGAAAATCATAAATTTCATGAAAATTTAGTTATATTTTCCTAAATATTTATTTATTTGGATTAAAATAAAAAGAAAAACTATTGATGCAAGTTCTCATGACCTTTCCCAAGCAATAAGGCTTTTTCGTATTTCTTGACCTAGACAAAGGCTAAGGCTTCTAGAAAGAACGTATTTTCGTGGTACAAATACATGCAAGAAGCGTATGGCTTCTAGTAGTTCTTGACTTGTAAGGCTACTAGGAAAATTCTTCATGGCAAGGGGCTCTCTCTCTCTCTCTCTTAGAAAAATTCTTCAAGGCAAGGCTCTCTCTCTCTCTCTCTCTCTCTCTATATATATATATATACAAACCCACATTATATCTATCGCTTTCAATGCTTAATCGTTTTAATCTTAATTTACAATTTTTAAATTATGAACAATATATACTTACCTACTTATAAGTGAACAAGTGATTACTACAAAAACTACCGACCACCATGTATATTTTCTATTTGATAATTACGGTCAAATATTTATGATTAGACAATATCATCAATCAATAAAAACTGACCACTTATTCATCAATAATGCTTTAGGCATTTAAGTCAACACAATTAACCATCATATATTCTCCTATTTTCAACTTAAATTCTTTTTTTCTTTTGTTATTTTCAACTCCCTTTTTTTTTGCAAGTATTTTCAACTTGAAATCACATATAGCTATCACTTTCAATGCTTAAATGTCTTAAGATTAATAGCTTTCACAACTATTAGGTTGTACTCTTTGATATATATGTCAACAGAAGGCAAAAGATATAATTAGCTACATTTTTTAACTCAATTATATAATCGATTGTGACTCGTATGGATATAAATATTTAGGAAAGAGTTTTTGTTTTTTTGTTTTTTTTTAAGTGGACAAAAGTGCTTGTTGGACACCATTTATTAAAGTGAACAAGAGTTCTTATTGGACACCATCTATTAGAGTTATTGTAAAAACGCACTACTCGTCAACATAATTAACCATCATCATCCTATTTTCAACTTAATTTTTTTTTTTTTCCTTCAAGGGGGTCTCTCTCTCTCTCTCTCTCTCTCTCTCTCTCTCTATATATATATATATATATATATATATTATATTTAGCGCTTTCAATCTTAATTCACAATTATTAAATTGTGAACAATATATACATACCTACTTATCAGTGAGTAGGTGATCACTACGGAATCTACCGACCACTTTACATATTTCCTATTTGATAATTACGGTCGATATTTGTGATTAGACAATATCAACAATCAATAAAAATTGACCACTTACTCATGAGCCAATAATACCTTAGGCATATATGTTAACATAATTAACCATCATATATCCTCCTATTTTCAACTTAAATTCTTTTTTTCTTTTGTTATTTTCAACTCTCTCTCTTTTGGCACATATTTTCAACTTGAAATCACATATATCTATCACTTTCAATGCTTAAATGTCTTAAGATTAATAGCTTTCACAACTATTAGGTTGTACTTTTTGATATAAATGTCAACAGAAGGAAAATATATAATTAGCTACATTTTTTAACTCAATTATATAATCAAATGTGACTCGTATGGATATAAATATTTAGGAAAGAGTTTCTGTTTGGTGTTTTTTTAGTGGACAAAAGTTCTTGTTGGACACCATTTATTAGAGTGGACAAGAGTTCTAGTTCGACACCATCTATTAATTAACCACTACTCGTCAACATAATTAACCATCGTCATCCTATTTTCAACTTAAATTCTTTTTTTCTTTTGTTATTTTCAACTTAAATTTACCATCATGAATTTATAACAGATGATAATCATGATAGGTGGTATAGTTTCTATAGATAGAGAGAGTCTTACCAACAGTTGCAGAGTTGAAGGTGGTGGAGCCGCCTCCCACGCTCCGGCTGCCGGTGATGATGGTGTTTCTCAAGCCATCACCCACCAGCATGATATTCTTCATCTTGTTACCAATCTCAAGATTCTCCTTATAAACTCCACTCTTCACATGTATAACAAACCTCCCACTGCCACTTCTCTTTGCCGCTGCGTCCAGGGCGGCTTTGATGGTCCGGTGATTCCCGGACCCATCTTGAGCCACCACTAGGTTCGCTGCCGGAGAGGACGACTGCAACAGCTTCCGGTCACCGAGGGAAACCCATGTCGGAAAACCCTCCTTATAAGTCTGTTTCTCAGTAGAGCCATTGTTAACGGACAAACTGTTGCTAATTAGCTTGGAAACATTGTTGGACATGAGAGGCAGCATGAAATCCGAAACCCCTAGCTCCACGAACCCGGCTCGGCAAGTCTCCAGGTTGGTCAAGGCCGTGCTGAGCCATGTCTGAGCATCAAAGTCAGTACACTTTGTGCTTGGGTCTAGGGTGTGGTTGAGCTGAAGAACTGTGCTCTCATACAACTTCAAACAATCAGCCCATGCAGTCTTTTCTTTCTCGTTACGGCATTTAGGACCGAGCCATTTGGTGTGACTCTCCGCATTTAGGGCTCGTTCCATGGCGATTTGGACCGCCATCTTCCGAAAATCGGATTTTTGTTTTGGTGCTGCAAAATGGTGAGGACCATGTGTCATGAAGTACTTGCATGATTCAGGGTATGGGGTTTTATTGCACCACCAGTTTAGGTCACCGGAAACCGGAGCCGAAAGGGAGGGTAGGAGAAATGAAGAAATGGAAATGAATAGTACGAGAAATGCAAACTTGGTCGCCATTGATGAGCCAAGTGTTTTGCTTTCTTTCTCTAAGTTGGAACTTAATATGGCCATAACTAATAGGTTTTTGCATGTTTTATAGGTGAAGGAGAAGATGGGAACCAGGTTGGCGTAATTGACTTGAAGGCGGTTGAGGATGACAAAGTAAACAAAATACAAATCAATATATATATATATATATATATAAAATTACAAAGATATATATACTGATCAGATGTACTGTCTCATTGATTTTAATGTCTAAACTATATAATATCCTTTATACGCGTCCATTTGAATTATGTAAAGGAGGATTTCAGTCAAAAATAAAATAAAAAATAAAAGAATCTTTTGACACTAACAAATTAATAATACTACTATAATATCAAGTGGTTCTGATTATATAAGGTGAGGCTAATTATGGAATAAAGTGTTACTTATCTGTATAGATGGTTGACTATAGAATTAATGATGCATGTAGAACATGTCCACTCATTTTTCCACAAAATCTTTGAAACTAATTATTCTTCTCAATTAGTCTGATGTGAAGTGAAAGCTCTGTTTGTTTCACCTAAAAGATTTTACATCAAAAAATATTTCTCATGTAAAATGTTTACATGATAAAGCATTTTAAAAACTACTGTTCGCTTTTGAAATAAGTTAAATAATTACAATTTGATTTATTTAGAGAAAATGTGCTTAAAAACATTAATTATAATTATTATTTTTATAGAATTTTTACACATCTCACCCTTGTGCTATATTTACTTGTAAAGTTCGTGTGCAAAAGTATATAATATATAATTTACTATTCATGGGCCACTACTATTACGCGTTAGAAATAAGATAAATTAAAGCATAGGAAATAAACTGTATGTTTAACACCAATTAATTTTTAAAAAATTCAGCAATTTTATTTATCAATGTTATAACCACATAGTTTCTTGCTGGATTTTTAAAAGGTCCAATTGGGGCTAATGTGAATCCAATTAAAATAGTATTTGAATAAGTTCCATACTTGCATGCGATATTCGTGACGTGTCAAAGTTTAGCCCTTCACAACTGGAAATGATCATAGTTGCTGATTTAGACCCGTTTGATGTTCTGACTTGGAAAATAGGTGGCTATAGACGCGTTGAGCAAGACAAAGAAACGCGCGCACCCAATCAATCATAGAGAAAGTTCCTGATTTCAACGGACACGATTGGGCTGATCCTTTCATAAGGTTTTTTAGATTATTACCAATACATTGTGTTATAGACTATAATTTATTATTTGATGTTGTTAAAGTCATGATTTTTTGAAAAAATAGAGTTAATCAAAATGTTGATGCAAACATGATAAAACATGATTTATTTGTTCAAACTATTCTTACTATTTGCAGGTACCACTTTAATTTATATAGGTATTTCTTTTTGTACACGTAAGTACTAATTTATTTTATTATTTTACGGGCCATGTCATCAGTATTTCTTGTTGTGTTGCACAAGAAATGGTACATGAGTGCACAAAAATTGGTATACGTCTATGTGTATAAAAGTGGTACCTCTATAGCCCAAGACAAAAGTGGTACCTAGAAATAGTAAGGGTAATTTGGAAAATGAACAATATTTCTCCATGTCTACGTCAGCATTTTGGTCAACTTTATTTTTTTCATTTTTCTTACATTTTTTCATTTTATGTGCTATGTTTCTATGTGTGGGGATGAGTACCACGAGTTCTCGAAGTTCATTTTGGACATTTCTTCTAGTCACAAATTCTTAGAAATGTATTTAGTTTCATTTTATTCATTTCAGGTTTGTGGGCCTGGGAGGTTTCTGTGTGGGGATGAGTACCACGAGTTCTCGAAGTTCATTTTGGACATTTCTTCTAGTCACGAATTCTTATAAATGTATTTAGTTTCATTTTATTTCGGGTTTGTGGGCTTGGGACGTTTCTGTGTGGGCCAAAGGTTAGATTTTGTGTTTGGGAATTTTTCCGACTCCACTTATTTTATTTTAATTGTGTTGGGGCACTTTAATTTATTTTGTTGTAGCTTTATTTGTCTATGCATGCTTAGGTACATAGAATGGAGACATGGGGTCATTTTCTATATTATAGTGGTGGGGCCCTTTCCCCACTAACTCATGTGTCTATATAAGAGGGAGTGAGTGCAATGAGGGACAATTTTAGTCCCCCATTTGTTACCGGTCGTAAACCCCCTCTCTTCTTCTTCATTTCTTTTTTATTGCTCTACCAAATTTTCAAGCTTTAGCTAAAGATTTGGTCTAGCTAAGGTGGGAATTTGAAGAAGTGACAGTTGAGAAAGTTAGAGATCTCTTTAAGCTCTACGTCCAAGTGGTCTTGGATTATATTTCTGTACATCTTCATCTTTGGGACAATCCGGGATTTTCATCTATGTTGGGTAGGGGTGTCTAACTATCGACTTCCTTTAGTTATGGAAGTGATTGATGTGTTCCCTTCATGTGATGACTTAACTCTATCCTTTTTATGACCAATTTTTGTAATTTATGAAAATAATGTATAGCAAGATTTTAAGATAAGTATGCAATAATCAAGTAAAGCAAATAATCAATTTAAAGCATAATTGTAAGAGAGATAATGGAAGAGAAATTCCAAGTAATGACTCAGCGATTTTAGTGAGGTTCAGAAATTTCTAGTCCTCGGCTCAATAATCCTTATAAAACTTTCCCAATTCCACTATGGCTTCTCCTTACAGGTGAAGAGCAACCTTCACAAGAAGCAAGACCTTGCCTCTCCTTTGATTGCTAAAAGAACAACATTCTCCTAGTCTTCTTTTGGGTTAAACCAACCCTTACAAATGTTTATAACAATAAAGATGATGTACAAGATATATCTCTCAAAGATTGATATACAAATCTAAGCTTACAGTTAGAGTATTGATGAATATAAATGAAGCTCAAAACTCTAAGATGATATGAGGATTAAAGATGAAATAAATGCTCAAGTGGTGATCTTTAATACTCTTTCAATGCTTTCGAATGCTCTCTTAAAATTGTGTATCTAACACATAAAGGCCTCATCAATATATAAGCAGAAAATTGAGTAAAAGAGCTGGTGCTTGTTGGTTGGAAAAATTGATTATAGAAAATAGTCGTTACTTTTTGAATTCTACTGATCTATCACAAACCGGTCAACGTGTAGCTAAACTTGGTCGACTGGTTTAGCCAAACCGGTCGACGTGTTCTTCTATTCGGTTAACATGAAAGCTCAATATCCTGAGATTGGCTACTACCTGATTTTTATAGATATCGGTCGACATGAAGTTCATTTTGCTGCATTTGGTTCTTTCTTTGCCTTGGCTTAGTGATATCATGATTAAATGGCTTATGCATGTTTATGATATGAAAGTATACATAAGTGTATGTATGATTCTTATGAGGTGAGCTTTTGTACATTCATCAGTACTTTGACAGAGGATCCTATTACGCTCACCAACCTATCTACCCATTTTCTTCAAGCATTAGTTGATCATGTAAGCCTTATAGGTCCTTTTATAGACTTGGTGCTTTTGATCTCCTTTGAATATTTGATCATCATGATAAGTTCTTTGCTTGCTTTGGTGATGACCTTGCTTACCTTCTTAATGGTGTCAATCATTTATGCTTGTATTTAACTTAATGAAGACATTAGTATATAAAACCCTATTAATGGTTTGTTATTATCAAAATCATTAGATTGCATTTGGATTAAGTCTATATGGTCAACAATCTCTCCCTTTTTGATGATGACAAATCATTTATGTGTTCTTTGAAATATGTGGAGTTGTATTTTAAAAATACTCTCCCTATCAATATGTATAACATAACAATTATACTTAATCATGCTTGAAAAACTTTTAGAATGAATATGATGAAGTATAGGCATGAATATGTATTTTTACAAATTTAATTGACATTGTAAGTTCATTTTGATTGATATCTCCCCATGTCAATATGCTTTCATTTCAATAATGTATATATGCAAGAGAATGAAGCAACTTAGCAAAAATATAGCCATTTTAATAAAATAATGAAGTTGAAGTACATGAATGACTTTATCCCGTTTAGCTAGCACAAAACATTTCCAAATTAGCTAAGCTAAACATAGTGCACATATAATAGACTTTTAAACCAAAACAACTAAACCACATAGCAACGAAATCAAATTGTCAACCACATACTGGCACTGCCTATTCTCCCCCTTTGTTACATAAAAAATGAGGAGGGACTAATGAGGCGGGAATCTGGTATTCATGCGTAGTTCCCGAAGATCATCCTTGATATTTCCATCTTCTTTGTGAGAGGCATGGCATAGAAAAGATGAGTTTTCTGTCTCTTCACACAATCCATCATATGATGATAGATTAAATGAGCTAAATCAAATTTCTTGTGATACCTCTCGATTCTAGAGGTACGGGTGATCAAGTCCGAGTACAAATCCGAGGGATATCAAACAATTAAAGTATTTAATCGAACACAGAATACAAAATGAATTAAGAATAAATAAATAAGTGAAAAGAAAATAAATAATAAATCCTTAAATTAATAAATAAATAATCCTCCAAATGAAATATCTAAAATCTCCGATATCATTACAACTCGAGAATCCATCTAGTAGACCCCTAATAATATTTCAACTGAAATAAAATATAATCCAAAACTAAAACATGAAGAAGAATCCTACGTTGAATCGGAAGAATGATGTGCACTGTCTCTGCTCAGCACGAACAAGCTCTATGTCTGAAGCTGACGAACACTTAGAAAATAATAGTTGGTCAGGCCCATGAACAAGTTCTTTCTACGACAACCCAAACAGAGACCAGAGAAACTATACATCTATAGCTAACCCATGCAATAACTACATAGTCCATAAATACATATACACACTAAAGAAACTTCACTAGACTATAGGGTTGCCTCAACCTGAATAGTAGGCAACATGTAAAATGCACATATAGTGGGCATAAGTACCTAGACCTACCAGGACACACAACTACACTATATCTAGCTATACATCCCTGACAATATACGCACCCTAACCATAGATCCTAAGATTCAAGCTCATATCATGGCGCGCGTGCGCGCGCGCGCACACACACACACACATATATATAACATCCATCCTATCCAAAATAAAGTAAATCATGATGTGTAATTCAACTTATTCAGTTGACCTGACACGAATATAAGTAGGACTTAACATTTTATTTAATTCATTTCCTTATATAAAAGTAGGTAGGACTTAATTGATAAGTTAATCCGTCCCTAGAATGCCACCATCC